AATAAAGGCTTTAGTTAGATCCAGTGACAGGATCCAAAGAGTGTGATTTCATTACCTGGTTAGGGCGGTGGAGAACTTGGAGAGGGAATTAAGCAGGAGATAACTGACATTTATTTTTACATACGGCGGCGCGAATGGATGTGGACGCGAAGCTGCACGGCTGTATCAGATTGCGTTTACAGACCGAAGGCAGCCAAATCATCCCATAAGGGGAGGATGGTAAAGGACAACCAATTTAATATTAAATAGAGAGGCAGAATAATGAAATAGAATAAATGAGGATAGTCAAATAGTTAACTAGGTAGGTACATAGTGAGAGAGTGAGAGAGAGATTTGACACTTAGACACTTAGGTCAAGTTCTTAACGTTTTTCGATCAGGAATTTCCATGACTTCTTTCATCTCATTAGCGATTATTAAAAAATGAAAAGCATTTCTTGAAGCACCCAAAATGCAGTTAAACATGAATTTCCATCGACTTGTACGACAAAGAAATACTGTCATCTTTTAAGACATTTCTTTTTCATCTTGTCTTTTTTCTTTCTCAACAATCAGGCACTGCTTTTTTAGGCAGTTCTTCCTCTGTGTAGAAAAAATGTAAATCTACGATTATTGTAAAGCGCCTTTCACTATTATGTCTTACATAATTCAATGAAAAGTGACGATAGTTTGATATTAAGAACCATTTTCGAATAATCAGAAATTATTATTCATACTTTTTTTTTCTCCGATTATAAAAAAAAGAAGCGATTGTCTGAATGTAAAGAGTTTTAACTCTGGGAATAGATTTCTGACAATAACCTTATTTTGATGATAAACACCCTACACACGTGCGCGCGCGCACACACACACACACACACACATACGCATACACACACAGATACATGCAACAGATATACACATACATACACACATACATACACACACGCACGCACACACACGCGCGCGCGCGCGCGCAAAGGCATAGATACAAGAACATACATGAGGACGCCGACCAGTAGCGACTATCTCTACGGATGATACAACAGTTTACAGGTGCACCTCCCAAAATCTGGAAACTAGAACCTATCAGTTCATCTCAACTCTGACCTGACCCAGGTAGCTCAATGAGAAAATGACTAGCTTGTAAAATTCAATACGGCCAAAACCAAACTAGTAACATTACACCACCACGAAGTAGACCCCGAAATTTCACCTGTCATGATAGATGGGTCTTCTCTTAATGCGGCTTTTTGCATTCAACGTCTATTGAGACTCCACCTGTCCTCAGACCTCAAGTAGAACTCATATATCCAGTCAATTGCTAAAGATGTTGGAAACATTATTGGTTAATTGTACCGTTCCAGTAAGTATATGACACCCCGCCTGCTTTACAAACTCAGATCAGACCAAAAATTGAATATTGCTGTCATATCTGGGCTATTAGCTGCCCAGTCCTCACTTGCATGTTTTTATAGACTTCAAAATCTTCTCCGCGGCCCTGTAGGTGATGAATTATTTTCCACCCTAAAGCCCCTTTCCCACGGATGAAACGTCACGAGCCTCTCACTGTTCTATTGCTAATTCAATTGCATGAAATGACGAGCTAGATTCGCTAGTCCCACCACATCTGACCTTTACACCTGGGACCCGCCATGCCAAGTACACAAATGAGAATAATCCCTATTCCCTTCGGGTAGCATTAGTAAGGAGGAAGTTCTATTGGAACAGATTATTCCCAAGAACTGCTGCTTTGTGGAACAGGTTCCCGGTAGGAGGTTTTCCCAATCACTACAATGTTGATCGCTTCGGTTATCTTTGCTGCATAAACCAATCAGCCTCACTTGCTTGTTCTTACGCTCATAGAACACCACACAGTAACATTTTTTACCATTTGTAACTCTTGGGTGAACAAAAATCTTGTCTTAAAACACGTACTTTTTTGAAATTAAATACATACTGAAAATGAACGAGTTAATATACCATTTGGGACCATGTCTGTTCTAAATAACGTTTTATTTTTCAATGGCTAATAGCATTCAGGTAACATATTCAATTGCTTTATACTTATTTCACGTCAAATCTTATACAATAACGTGTTACACAAATGACATCTATCACAGTTTGTTATTATCTATGTATTACAATTTGTTACTTTCACCGATTGTTACTATCTATCTATCTATCTATTTATATCTATCTGTTCATATCTATCTGTTCATATCTATTTATCTATCTATCTATTCATATCTATCTATTCATATCTATCTGTCTGTTCATATCTATCTATCTGATCATATCTGTCTATCTATCTCTCTATCTGTTCATATCTATCTGTTCATATCTATCTATCTATTCATATCTATCTTCTCATATCTATCTATCTATCAATTCATATCTATCTATCTATCTGTTCATATCTATCTATCTATCTATCTATTCATATCTATCTATCTGCTCATGTCTATCTATCTATCTATCTGTTCATATCTATGTTGAAAAAGTCGGAAGACGAAACGCGTCGGCAAAATCTAAGATTTTTTTTTCAATTGTCATTTTATACCAATTTGTCTTGTCCACATAATTGATCTGACAATTTAACTATATCTATCTATCATATTCCCTTCGGATTCCAGTAAGAAATAAGTTCTACTAAGACAGCTTCTTCTCCATAACTGTTGCTTCGTGGAACATTCTCTCGACACGATGTTTTCCCAATCGCTAAAATCTTGACCTCTTCAAGTCTAGGTTTAACCGTTATTTTTCCTGCATAACCTCGTGAACTTCACTTCTTGTCTTTCCTTACGCTCATACAATACCACACAGTAATCATCTATCTA